ACATATCCATGTCATCATCAGGATATTGATTATAATAAAATACTTGTAGTATTTATTATTGTCAGAATCAAATTGCTGGGTTACCTGAAAGTTAAATTTTTTTACAATTGGAGTGAGGAACGCTATGACAGTGCGTGACCGCTGAAACCATGTAAAGGGAAGTAACTAAGTATGGTTTGTAGAGTTTTTTTGCGTAATGAGAAGTAAAAAGAGAAACTATTATTGTAATTGTTTTATGTACATAGCTTCAAGAATTTTTATTTTTTGTTTATTGTTTTCATGTTTAAGTATAGTTGTGTCTTCAACAAGGATTTTCCAGAATTGTGTACGCGGACAGACATGTTCCTGAAGTTATATACATAAAACAGTTGAAACCTAACCTGAACAAAATAAACTATGAAAACTCCACAAATATTCTTAAATGCCTATAATTGGTAACAGAAGCCATTGCTTTATACCAACGGCTTCCTATACTTAATACTTCTCATTTTCACTCTCGCGTATTCATGTGTGACGTCATAAGCTGCGGTGCGATTTTCACTTCCAGCGTCTTATATGCACGAGTTTGTCGTTGCTTGGAAATCTGCCATGTAAACAGAAACAGACTATCACCACTGTTTTGTCCGTGTTTTGCTTAATATATTGTAATGTAATTGTCATCTTTGATAATGGCTTATGTAAGCCGAAAGCTTAGATAGGATTAAAAAATATGGATCAATAGTGATTTTCTTTCTTCGTTTAATGATAATATTATTTAGCTTATCAGACGATATGAAAAGAATTTACATAAAATAAATAGACAACACTTGTCTATATTATTTAATGAAACATGCATCAATAATATATATATATATATATATATATATATATATATATATATATATATATATATAATTATTTATTTAAAAATATGATTCAACGCTACATAAGAGTTCTCATGTTTTCAAAACAAGAGCCGAAAACTTCAATATAATTATTTGAACTAAATTGAATTAAAGTATCAAGCACTGTTCCATCTTCAAGCCAAATTTTATTTCAAAGACGTCGTATATATATATATATATATATATATATATATATATATATATATCTTTTATTATGTTTATCTTAGTTTGGGCAAACGTATGATGATCGAACGCACTACTAATTTCTAACTATAAGTAAAATCTAATTATTTACTAAATCTAATAAAACGACCACTTTTTTATAAATCAATACGGATTTTATTCAGTGAAACTGTATACAGAGAAATCGATTTTTATAATGCGAGTAACATGTGTGACCTACTTTCGAACGGTCGTTTATAAAGGAACTGGGTCTATACTCATGAACCTGATTAGAAATTTGTATTTTGAAATTAGTATATAATAGCACGGTGGAGACGGGGTGAAGTAAAGATAAGCAGCTTGGTTTGAGTTCGAATTCCAGTCGAATCCATTACATTCACTTACGTGCTAATACTCTTGGGAAAGTTGTGAATCCTCTTCTTCTTCACCTGGCTATGGTTAATTAGCAAGACAGACCGGGTTTTATAGCCTTGGATAGCAACTGGTCTACAGCAGAAAGATATGGCAACCTACTGCGGGAAAAAATCTGCCTCGTCAGTCATGTATTGAAAGATACATGATCACCTACGCGTGTATCACGCATGGTACACAACTTACTGACTGATATATCAAAATACCTAAGGTCTTCATAGTGACAGTGGACGGCCGTGGCTAACGTATCAAGACAAGGGAAAGAATAACCTCTCAGCTGTCAATGTGCCTCATGGTAACTTTGATAGAAATAACTGGAGATATTTGTGCCAGACTGGTATCAGAAATTTTAAAATCAGTCGCTTTGACGGGCTAAGAAACGAAAGACAACGACGAAATGCGTTAACAAATATTCCTATTACTATGTCTCGAGATCCTCGCTGTTGCGCAATATGCGAACTTGTACGCAGGTCAGTAGCAGGACTGAAGTCATATACGACACAAACATAAAAACTGAATGAGATTGTAGGTTCCTCATACGTCAAAATCGATGTGAGAGAGAGAGAGAGTTCATCATATATATATATAAATATATACAGAGTGTATCAAAAATACTTTTGAAAACTTTAGAGGCAAGTTCTTCACACCAATTTTTTTAACATACAACGTGTGTTAGCACGTGCGAAACCCTGTCTTCATCAGCCGCCGACCAGGGGTGATTTCACGGTTTCGGTGGCTATGGCGGGACCGCCACCCCTGGCGCCACCAGTAGCGTTTGCCACCAGGCAGAATATGAAGATAAGCTAATTGATCGTTCCTCTTTGTAAATTCTCGTAATGAAATAAATAAAACGATTGTTCTCCTTTGCAGCTTCTGTCCGTAATGAAAGTTTCCTGAACGCGTTTGTCGTCATTGACGCGCTCGTAAAAATCGTTATAGACAAACACGCAAATATTTCACTTGCGCATGTTAGGTCGTGATGTGGCGCGCATTTTATTTGCTTGTTGTTTTGATCTCGACCAAATCCAACCTGACGCATGCTGAACTGTTGTTTGAACGCGATGCGAAACACTTTTCAAACAACGGCCAGTGATGCCTATTTTTGAAAGGAATGAAATGAAAACAACGTCAAAGGTCCATATAAACATATGTTCACAAATTCTTTCTTTTTTAGTTATTAAGTTTAAAGAAAGTTTACGGTAGATGGCGCTGTGTTGCCTTGTAGACTAGGTTACATTTGTCATTTGTGTCTTGTCTGTCTTCAACTTTTAACATGTGTAGTAATGAGTTAACTTAGAAGTGTTCCGTTTAACAATGGCAGGATATTCATATCGTGGGCAGATATGATTTTTACATATGACCGCGGGAATGGTAATAGACGGGAGGCTGCACGGCTGTATCAGAATACTTTCCCACTGAAAGCACCTGACCACGAAGAACACATTCTCCAGGCTGACGGAGACGATCTAGTTATCAGCATACGTCAAGTGGCACCTGCATGTCGTAACCTCATAGTACCACATGGAAGGTTCTTCAAGAGCAGTTCCTGTATCCATATAATTTGCAACGTGTGCATGTTTTTTTCTCCTTTTAATCACTACAGGAGAACTTTTGCCATTGGTTCATTGCACAAACTGCCGATCCGTTGTTTGTCTCTTCAGTCTTGTTTACGGATAAGGCAACATTTGGAAGAGATGGAATAACATATTTAGACAACCAACATTTGTGGGCAGATCGTAATCCCTTTGGTACAATACAGGTTAAACATCAGCATCAGTTTACGATTAATGTGTGGGCTGGAATTGTAGGTGACTCTCTGGTAGGTCCATATGTTCTCCCAGAACGTCTTACAGGAGCTGCCAACAGGCTCTTTATTTCAAACCTACTACCCGACCTGTTAGAGGATGTATCCTTGCTAATACGAAGACGCATGTGGTTTATGGTGGGGGCTCCAGCACATTTTAGTCAGTTCTGGATGCACTGACTGACATCAACAATGAAAGATTGATAGGTAGGACCCGTTCCACGACCTGCATTCTCCTCCGACCTCGATTCTTTGGACTTTTATCTGTGGGGTCACCTAAAATAATTGGTTTATTCAGCAGACATTAATAATATACACACGCTTCATCAAAGTGTCATGGGAACTAGCGAAACCATTCTACTGGCCTAAATATTCGAGAAATCTTATTAAGGAAAAATATGTTCTCTCCGGTAGGATTAACACCTGCGTCATTCCTAGCAGGGGAAATCATCCTTAGATCTGATGGCCTTATATTATGGAGTGTGTCGCCAGTCAAGCTGAATAGTTCCTTATAAACGCAAATCTTTCTGTGACTCTGGAAACATTCATATTTGCCCAATTTCGTGTTCTAACCTAAACAGTTTCTATTGTAAACAAAGCAAATTTCACTTATTAATAAATTTTCTCGAATATTCAGTCCGTTAGACGAAAATAACTTAATATAATCTTTCATAAATAAACGGAACGTCTACTCAAATATGGGGATCCACTAATAATAATTAACTGTTTTAGTGGGGAAAAGTAAGCATGCATAATAATAAAAAGAAAAAAGGTAAAATAAAGGAGGCGATAACGTTCTCATGCATTTAACGTCTGCTTCAGCGCAATAGAAAACCATGTCAATTTTTAATCTTTTCATTTGTACCATCTTACTTCTTTGAATAACGACATGTATTAACACATGATTGTTATTGCAATTAAAATTTTTAAGCTGAAATGTTTAACGATGCAATAGGGGAAATTTCACGGGTGTTTTATAGCCGTGTAACAAGCTTATTCAATCATTAACTTAGGAATTATGATTCATCAGAAAATTTAAATAGGAAAACCAGGTCTTCTACATTCAATAATCCAGAAAGAGTTGATATGTTGCAAAGATTAATTGTATATAGATATTGGCCGATTGATTGATTCACTTTCTAAGAATTATCAAGCCATTGCAGCTTATTTAAAGCCAGACAATATTTTAGATTGTAAGAATTTGGGGGGTAGGGGGAGATAATGGTTTAGTAATACAAGTATTACTAATTAACCCATAGTTAAATCAGAATTTGATAAACAAACAAGATATTTTAATGTGGATATAAAGTGAAGGATCAATTCTATTTTACAATCTTTGTATAAACTAATCCCTTAATTTGTTTTTATACCTTTATATTCTAGAGAATGTAATTTAATCTAAAAGAAATATCTGTTGCTAATCAGTATGTCATTGATTGATTGGTTCGTTTTCTACAACTTATCAACCCTTTGCATTTTGTTTAAAGACAGAAAATATTTTTAGATTGTAAGAATTGGGGGGGGGGCTGAGCGTTGAGTTAATAATGGTTTAGTGATACAAGTTTTACTAATTAACCTATAGTTGGGGTGGAGAAGAGGTGGATTCATACCTTTCCCGAGGTGCGTATGTGAATATAACGAACCCAGCTGGAATTGGAACTCGGCTCTCCGATTAACAACTCCGAGCCATTAACCATTACACCATCCGCACGACCAAGCTTACAGCACCTGATATTTCTAAGCGATCACCTATCTAAAGTACTGACCAGGCTCGACATTGCTTAACTTCGGTGATCGTACGGAAACTGGTGTTTCGACGTGATATGGACGTAAGCTACACCACCCGCACATCCAAGCTTACAGCACCTGGTATTTCCAAGTGGTCACCCAGCTAGGTATTGACCAGGATCGACGTTGCTTAAGATATTGGCATGAATAAAATGTTCATATAGATATTGGCTGTTCAATATGTTCTTTGTCTATGAGTTTTGAAGTGTTTCTTTCTCGCTGAAAGAGCGATTTGTAAATAACAAGGGAGATAAATAGCAAGGGAAGTAACTCGTGATGCAATTCTGAACTATGAGCTCCGTTGTGAGCCGATTGCAAATTTTATTTTCTGAATGTCATTATATTTTTTTTTTTATTTCTCTTACAGCTCTTTACGGCTATTTGTTCAGTGACAATTCCGAGGCAGCATTCGCCAATTACCGACTTTGGGAGTCAGTTGGATTCATTATAACATTCGCCTACGGCAATTTCATTTGTACAGACGTTAAATTGTACATTTGCATCGGATTCTTGGTTCTGGGTATGATTGGTTATGTGGCTGTTGAAATATTTCACCGGAGATACTCTGTTCACAGCATTGACGTTACCACAAGCAATCATTAATAAATTCCAAATATGACAAATACACCCACGCACCGAACAACTAAAATATTCCCTCACCTCACTGTAAAATAGTAAACACCATTGAATTTCCGGCCGCGATGCAACTTTTATAGTAAATATTTTATAGGCAATACTTACAAGGCCAAAATACATACATATTATATCTGAACTACAAAATTACCATTACAGGACGAATATGACTTCAAAGATTCTTTCTCTAACCACAACAGCGACTTTTGCTTTTGTTTCGCAATTATTACGCCAACTATTGTAACTAATACAGTCGCTGCTCACTCAACGACCGGATCATCTTCCACTGAACAGACCGAAACGAGATGGTCGCTAAACAAGCTGGTCGCTAAGTGAGAAACTGTTTTTTATGATCTTCATTTTAATTTTAAGATCATTGGTTTACTTTTGCGTCCTGTTGCTTCCTCCGGACGCAGTTATGCTCCATGTTTTTGTCGGTGCACGCGAATCACAATGAGGGTATAGTTGAAAGACCGATGAAAAATGTAGGGCTGTGAATGTGTGTGTGTGTGTGAACAAAACTACCCTTTACTCTATCACCACGTGCTGCTGTATTCCTACCATCAATGTTTTCGTATACCGTAGAATAACGACCAGTGGAATTTGTATATATACAATGAGATTTAATAGATGGTTATAAGTCCAGAATGGCCGTTAAACTGGTAAGTCGTTAAATGAGGAGTTGGCGCTACGTCATAAATTAAACCATGATGACTGCGAAAAGACTAATCATTCCAAAAAGAAAAAAAGAGCAGAAAACGAAAGAAGAAAATGCGGGAAAATATCGATTCATTATTTTATCAAATAAAAATTTATCCTTGTATATTTTATCATTTGATTTGGAAACTTGACGACTGAAAGTTGTTGCAATTACGTTTACAATAATAAAAATAGCGCGAATTAATACCGATGATACAATAAAAAATTAAAAAGATTAAAATATTTTCTCTAGCAACAAGGCCTTAAAAGTTTAGATTGCGAGGCATCCCAACGAAGTAGGACACTCCCATTAAAATATGTTGCAATCCCGCATGACTCTGGCTTTAAATTTACTAGATTTACCGTTTTTATCTTCATATAATATCGTGTATTAATGTCCGTATTTACAAAAATTAGCACTATTAGCACACAGACACAAAATTCAATATTCTTTTTTAAAATACTGGGAGTCGCTTAACTGTACTAAGCTTTTCCCTTTATAAATATAGTTTTTATTTAATACCAATATGCAATGTTTTGGTGCAAATTAAAATCTTTATAAATTATTCTAATTAAAATTATTCATCGAATTTTTTTCTTATGACAGTAGTGTCCACAATATATCTTATCAAAAGAATTAAAAAGTTATCTAATTAAATAATGTCTTAGTTTTATTGCATTTTACAATTCAGAGTAGATTTTCGGTAACTGGAGGTCCTGTTTTTCATAAAGATATAAGATGATTTAAATTCTCCAAGGATTTCTGCTTATAACTAATATAAATATTAAGTACAACAAAAATGAATTTCTCGAAATTTCATAAAATTAAATGAGTGTGTGTGTCTGTGGGATGTAACAAATGTAAAAAAAGAATATTTTACCAAGAATTTCTAAAAAAAGAAACATTTAAAAGATAATTTAATTCATTTGTGAATAAATCCTGAAAGTTAAATTAAAATCCGACAATTATATGATTTTTGCAAGAATTTCCTAATTAATGTGTTTTTCTTCACAAAATGACGCTACAGTTTCTTATAGTAATTTATGGTCACTCGCTGACGCAAGAAAAACAAGACATTTAAACAAAATTTTGAAGGTTCTAAAAAGGATTAAAAATATAATTTAATAATCAAAAAAAATCTTTGATCTTTCCTCTTGATAAGATATATATATTTTGTCGTTAAAACTTTGTTTTATTACATTTTGGGCATTTTTTCACCATGTATGTCCACTTATTAGCGAATCTTTGGAGGTAATTTATGAGATATAATATATAGACGTCAAAGATGAGTTTTATAATCAGCTATCAAAGGAGATACAGACCGTTGCGAAAGTTAATACTGGGCGACCTCAGCGCCAGAGTCGGTGCTGACCACGATTCATGGCCTAGCTGTCTGGAACAGCAGGGAGTCGGTAAATTAGATGACAATATCGAACAACTGCTCGAGCTCTGTGTGCTTCACGAACTACGAATCACCAAAACATATTTCAGGCCAAATCTAAGCACCTCGTCTCCTGGTGACACTCATGTTCGAAAAACTCTTAGGAGAGAAAAAATCTAGACGTCCCATTTTTACTATGGAAAATGTCTTTACACTCAATTTTCCATTTTGGGTTAACCTTTTGACTTTTCCTGCTTAGAATTAATGTTTAACCACATCAATGTCACATACTAATTTATGGTTACACATTGACTCAACAAAAACAATTTTTAAGCAAAATTTTGAAGGTTCTAAAAAGGATTAAAAAATATAATTTAATAATCAAAACACCCTTTGGTTTTTCCTCTTAATAATAAGATAAATATTTTGATAATAAAACTGTTTTTATTAAATTTTGGCCATTTTGTCATCATGTATGCTCATTTTTTTAATGAATCTTTGGAGGTACCTATATTTGAAACTTTTTCAGAGAAAGCAATGTAGAAAAAGTTTAAAAAAAGGTTTCCCAACTTAAAAGATTTGCGTCATGAACGGCATCCAGCTGAAAAATGCTACCACAAAATTAAATGGATAATGATGATCATACTTTTTAAAAAACTTACAAGAAATTTTTTTGACTGAAGAATAAAATCAGTTACAAAAGCAACTTTTCTACATGTATAATTAAGCGGTTCATCTCTTTCTGGAAAGGATGGAAAGTACTTGGAAAATAAATGTGATTTTCACTGTTACAGCGCATTTCTTCCATCATGTGATTGTAATACAAGGAAAAATATCCGCCAATTTGAACGAGTTATGCTATCCCCCAGGAAAGTGACACGTTTCGCCTTCTCGGGCTCATATATATATATATATATATATAAGTATACCATTTGTCCTTGTTTAACATATTGCTGCCTTAAATAGTCCAGTGCTCCTGCTATTTAACTTGAGCTCCTTGATAAGACCCAAAGAAGAATCTGCAATATTATTGGTCCTGATCTGGCAGCTCAGCTCCAGTCATTTTCCCACCGCTGTAAGGTTGCCTCTCTATGTCTATAAATACTTTCATGGTAATTGCTCGAATGAACTCTTCGCTAAGGTGCCTAATATTTTTTTTTTAAATTTAAGCGCAGCTCTAGACTGGCGTTAAATACAATACTTTTTGCTGCTTATCCCAGATCCTGTACGATCATTCACTTCATTACTAGGTATGTCATATATATATATATATTTATTAATATGAATATATATATGAATATATACATATTTATATGAATGTATATATATATTTATATGAATATAAATATATATACGTGTATATGAATATATATATATAATATATATATATATATATATATATATGAATATATATACATATATATATGAAGTCTATATATATTTATATATATATATATATATATATATATATATATATATATATATATATATATATATATATATATATATATTTGGTTGGATAGATGTGAGTTTGTAACCCTAGGTTTCACGCTTTTGCGATCGTCAGACAAACTGATTAATTTTTAAAATTTTGTGTTTATGTAGATTGCGCGTATTGGTGTTATTATGGAAGGTGGGGTAGCTCTATCTCTGATATTGAGCGCTTAATAAGTACCGCGTATATAATATATAAATAATTATATATATATATATATATATATATATATATATATATATATATATATATATATATATTTTATTTATATTTATATACACACACTTTTTTCACACACACACACACACACACACACACACATATATATATATATATATGTATGTATGTGTGTGTTTGTGCGTGTGTATGTGAATATCAGATGTCACTATACCACATAACACCCTTGAGCGTTCAGTCTTGGAGCGGGTAGAATGGAGATCAACGTGTTTTAGTGGACTCAGAATTTTTCTCTCTGCTTGTCTGACTCATCTTCAAGAAGCGAGATCAAGATCTAAAAGGTCAGCCAATCTAACAGTGATCACATCTCACAATCCTCACTCTTGCTCCATATGTGGCCTCCTTTGTAAACCACTTGCGGGTTTTAAGTGCCAATTAAGTTTATCGCACAAAATTTCATAACTGAATCAATTGGTTAAGTTGGCAGATCCTCATACGTCGAAACCGACGGAAGAGGCCATTATATATATATATATATATATATATATATATATATATATATATATATATATATATATATTCATATTGATGCCAGTATAGGTTCTTGATTATTCTAATATCTTTCTCAAATATATCAATGTTGCTGAGCAGTTGCAACA